ACGCCTGTCACCCTGAGACATAAGTTAACATCATGTGCCTGTAATTACACCACCCTTATGGAGTTGCCACACGGGCGTTGCGTCGTCGCAACTGCGTTGATTTCAACGGACTGAGTGCCACACGAGCTACTCCGTCGGCGCGCGCTGTTTCAACGCACCGTGTGGCATGTCGTTCTGTTCGAACCCGGAATGCAGTAATGCGAGAACTACAGCGTGGCGGCAGAAATAGGTAAGGTGGCAATACTTCTCTGGACGAATTCATTCGCACAAGGAGTTCTACTGCTACCAAACAGAGGCTCATTGGACGCGCAAAGTCGACAAATCGTGCAAGTCCAACCAGCCGTCCTTACCATAAACAACGTAATCGATATTTTTAGCGAAATTGAGTTATTAATATATCTAGAATCAGCGAACCGAGATCCACAACCAGCTCTAATCGGTTTTTTTACATCTTATCTAGTTTCACTTTTATTGTTAAGCAACGTCAACGTATCGAGTTCTTAGGTTTTCGCGATTGTTACACATAGGAAATGAAACTATTTTTCCAGGTTTAAACATAGAAAAAATTTCGTTTGTTTGAAAAAACAAATATACGATATTTAAATCCGGAAAAATCATTTCAAAATCAATGTAATTGACATTTTTCAAAGACAAAAAACTTTAGGTGCCAATATCTCGAAAGGTACCAAAATGCAAATGCGTTGTTTATGACAAGGAAAGCAATGTTGTCACATTATTTTTGTCCATGGAAAAGCTCTATGTTCTTAGACGGGTGCGAGTCGGGCGCATGTCGGGTCGGGAACACGGCGGGTGTGTAATTCCGCGTATTTATATGGACAACAACAAACCACGCGCCGGCCCGGAACGGACGGGTGCGCACCCGTTCTCTGAGCGTTAATCCCTTACAAATTGACCACAATCTGAGTACAAATGTTTAATAAATAAAAAGTGGACTATTTTGAGTTGAGCTGTTCAACTCTTCTTGCAGAAAGCAGATCTTTTCTTGAATGTTTTAGAAAACAACATTCATATGTTCTTCAGAACCATTCAAAGAATTGAATATGACTCTGGTGTAAATACTAACTAATAAGCAAATATGTATACAAATACAAATTACAGTTGCATACAATGCTTCTGTCGTCAGCTAAAGATAATCTTAAGTATAATATATATCGTTGTCTGCATAAATTACTAATGTCCATTGTCAACATGGTTTATTGCTCTGCCGCGAAAATCATACATTTCTGCCATGTATTGAATATTAAGTGTTGTTAGGTGGTAATAAAGTTAATGAGCGTTCAAATCCGTAAGTAGGAGCGGAAGTTGTAAACATGTCAACAATTATTTAGTGTCAATAAATGGGAGATTGCGTCACTAGGGCGCAAAATAGTATATTTAAGGGACGCTATATTGAATCTTGAGCCTAGCAAATTGAATATAGAGCTCAGTCTCAGTTTATATTCGAGCGTAATATCCCAAGATGGAAATAATTTTGATGGAAATTGAGGAAAATAAATTAAAGAGTTTTTAGGAACTGCCAGTTGGGCATTTTATGCCCGTCTAATAAAAATATGAAAAAAAAAAATTGTAGATAGATTTGACGATCTCCGAGGTCGAGTGACTTGCACGCCGGTTTTCATGGTGTTGCCATTTTTGAGGTCCCGAGATCGCTCTCCGGCCACCGTAGAAACTAACTTTTCTATATTGTCTCGGGTCTGGGTGTTTGTGGTACCGTCGTTGTTTCCGATTTCCTTAACACAAGTGCTTTAGTAACTTACTTTGGAGTCAGAGCAATATGACCCCCCGTTCACACGGTACTGCACTGCACATTTTTATGCAGTTTAAATCCGAACCAAATAAAGTAAAATAAAGTGGCAATAATAAGTTTATTGAATACTGCAAAAAACAGGCAGTGCAATGCCGTGTGAACGGGGGCTACATTATACACCAAACCAAATACAGTTGTAACTCAAAATTGTGGAATTAAAAGTACACGATTTGAAAACTTAAAAGTGAATGAAAGCTTTGGACTCGAAGCATCTGTTTGACAATTGTCAAAATCAAGACTGTATGATGTTTCTTTGGGTATATATTATTTTATTACATATGTAGTTAAGTATGTTTATATTATGTTATTCATTTTATACCATACAAATTATCGATTACGTTATTGTTCTTCCTGTTTAAGTGTAGCAAAAACCTGTTATATAGTTTTTGTGTTTGGCCGAATGGTTGACTGGTCGAGAAAGCCTTATGGGATTAAGTCCGCAATTTATATTGTACAATAAAGTTTAAATAAATAAATAAATGAAACCAATAGCTATATTCTCGTTTATAAATGGATAATTAAGTATTATGTATAAATAAAAATAATCACATTATTCGCAATCAGATCCATTCAGTATTTATTTAAATTTTCAAATTGTGTTTTTTCAATTCTTCAGAATTTTGAGTGACGACAATATTTGGTTTCATGTCGTCGGTTTTATTCGTAAACCTCGTAACCTCCATTAATGTGAACATTTTGAGTAGGCACAAAAAATAGAATTACTGGAAATAATGATGACAATCTATGATTATATCTTTATTTTAACCAAAAGAAGGCCTACAAATCATATTTTAAGATTTATTTGCCCGATATTGTGCTTGATGAATAAAAAAAGGATATCGTCCAAAAATGGAGTTACGAGGTTTTCAAATTTAGCCGACGATGTGCGATATGATGTTGTCTAATATTTATTTAACAAGATGTTTCAGTACACAAAAGGCAAAAGGTTTAGTACAAAATTCCTCTCAATAAGAAGACTTGGGTGTGTGATAGATATTAAATCAAAAGAAGAGGACAGGAGGGGTCCGGCGACGACGCCGGCTAGTCTGCACGTGTAAGTCATAAAGCGAAGGGTGCATATTGCGAGGAAAAAATGTAAATTAATGGTCCACTTAACATTATGAAAACAGGAGGGATATGGCTGCATATGATACATGGGGGAACCTCGGATGAAATACATTTGTCAGCAGCAATGTTAATAATAACGAATCATAAAGAAAACTTTTTCAAACGCGTTACGAAAATAGTTAATAACAGTATGCACAGAAAAAACAAGGAAAATGTTATCTACATTTAGAATACTTCACACATGAAACCAAGTAGTTAAGTAACAGTAGGGCTCCTTGTGAAAAAGTTCGTTACTTAATTCTACCGCCAAACAGAATGTGAGCATTACCGCTTTCCGGTTTTGAAGGGTAAGGGGTGCTGGTGAAATTACCGGCAAATAGGACTTGTCTACTTATGTCTCAGGGTGACGGGCGCAGTGGCAGTGTCCCTTTGCGATTTAAAGCTCTGAGTGGCACTGCAACTGTTATCGACAGGCGTGTCGCTTATCAACAGTCGCACGATTTGTTCGTCTCATCACTTAGCATCATAAAAAAGTATTGTCGTAACTCAAAATTGTGAAATTCAGAAACCACGTCTATTATTATATACGTTATACATTTATAAACGAGAATACATAATATTGGTTCTATTCAGATTTTTTTAAATTTTGAAATCGTGTCGTCTCAATTCCACAATTTTGAGTTACGACAGTATTTGGTTTCATATACGACTTACGGTACTAATTGTGGTGGTAAAGTTTGCGAATATTTACGGATGCTATATTATAACATTGCTATTTACAAATAACGCACAGTAACAATCAATTCAGTAAGTAAACATTACAGTAACACTGTGTCACTGTCTCACCAAAACAATGTTTATTAGCTGGAAAGTTTGCAAAGTATTTCTTACTTACTTAACTTATGGCAATAGACCCACCCACTATATGAAAAACTCTGAATTAAGTACCTATACTGTTACTTTATAACATTAATATAATATTTTGCTATAGGTAGAAACTCTTCAAGACGTCATGTTTCTATGACAACAATTTTTGCCTATGATATTAAGAAAAACATTAGAATTATGTTACATAGAGTAACAATCGATTGCATGATAGATTTACTACACAAAGATATTAATTATATCACCAACAAATTCTCCCAGTGGGTAGGCTCATACAACAGTCAGATGTCAACTTAAATTGGTAATATAGAAATACTCCTTAAAACCACTGGGTTGGTAGGTCAGGTTCATTTAAATATTTGTTTTGTAATGTTACAAGGAGTTCCAAGTGAGCAAATGACAGTTTGTAAGCAACACGTCTTCATTGTTATGACATTGTACAATGACAATGGAAGAACATGTTTAGTAATTGTGGAAAGTGGTATCATTTGTGTTATTTGGTAATAAAAGACTTTCAATGTGCTGTAATTTGTATTTTGTAAAAACTACTTTTCGCTTAGAGCAAGATAAAAATATCATTAACTGTCAGCATCATCATGTTGATGAACCCAATGGCTCAACAGCTTTTTTTTATACATGACAGGCAGATAGATGACTTCATTCCACCTGATAGAAATGGAAATGGAATCCAAACGTGATACAATCACTGCCCTAGCCACCTCCACCCTGCATGCCTACAAGATGCCTCTTCACATCTTGTTTAAAGAACTCCATATCATAAGATGAAGGGAATAATATGTGCCTTGGAAGGGAGTTTGCACTGTAGACTTTGGGGTTCAAATAACAGTAGGATTAGGGAAATTAATTTTACTAAATTTCTGGTGTTGATATTCCAGGTAGTGCTCTAGAATGAATTCTATTGTTCTGGTACGTAAAGGAAATTCCCTAGTTTGAGACCAGGTAATTGGTGTGGTGGTCTAGTACAAAATTATATTATTATTATCACAGTATAATACAGGTAAATTAAATGACAACTGTTCTGGGGTTGTGGTCCCATATTTTTTTATAAAAATAAAAAAGCCATAAGAAACGAAGGCAATTACTTGGCCCTAGAATTTAAAACAGAAGTCATACGCAATTGACATTATTTGATTAGAGATTTTATACTTAATATTATAATTGTATGAAACTTACAAAACTAACAGATAGATTGACTTACCTCACTGCTACACGGACACTGGATTCATCGTTAGACATCTTGTAAGTGCCCATCTGAAAAGATATTGAGCAGATATTTAATTATTTGTGTGCTAAAAGTGTGAACAACTCTTCTGGTATTTAGCGTTGATTAAATAGAAGAACACTTAATGCATTACTGTACTTTTACAACTGGATAAGCAACTACAGATTGTAAATGATATACTATTCAGATTTTTTTTTTGTTTTGTTCAAATGTAAACACAATTAGGAGGGAAATTACCAAAAGCCACTTTGACAGTTTAGAGTTTCTTGCTTGTTCTTCTCAGGGAGGTCAGCGTAGTGAATGAGCAGTAGTTTAAAAGATAGCATTTTCAAGTGTAAAAATTAGTGTTAAAAACACCATTTAAAAATGGTCAATAAAAAATAATATAATTGAATAAATTCAGGGAACTTTGTGCTGATTACTCCATATGGATAACTTTGTAAATATATTGTTTATTTTTGCTCTTCTCTCTTTTTTACTTATGTTGTGGTCCAGCATTTGAATAGACAATATTATTTCATAAATATACTAGTAACAAGACTGAAATTTCCTAAAATGCAAAAAGAATAACCATCTTGCTTAACTTACGTCTATTTATTTGATACAAGGTGATTATGTACTATCTAGTGAATAAGCTGACATAGATATTTAAAGAACATTGTAAATAATTTAAAATATATATTAATGTTTTTGTTGACTTCTGTAGCCATGAAAGTGCTGATAAAATATTATCGTTAGGATAATGCAATGTCCAATTTTGCATTTATAGAAGACCACTGTAGTCACATAAATATAATATTATTTTTAATGTTACTTTAATTTGGATACAAGCACAACATAGCTTAATTCTGTTGATTAATAATGCTGACGCGTATAAAATTTATTTCACAGTACATAATTATTCTTTCAAATAAATTGTTTTTTGTTGCCAATGTCAAAACAAGTTATAATTCAAAAAGTATCAACACTTTTTGTAACAAATTCGTTTAAATTTGGAAATACTTGCTAGCCCATCTAAGTAATTCCAAATTTAAACTAATAAATTGTTAAAGAAATACCAAATCTTTACGCGCACCATCTGTTTAAAATATCAAAGTGTATGATGGATGAGAAAGGTAGTAGAATCAGAATATACCATAACAAATGTCATCCATTTCTAGGTATATGCCCTTTGATCTTTAAATAAGCTTCCTTTCAGGCGAAATATGTCAACAAACGGACGTAAAAAACATTACTGGGCTTTCGTTCAGAATAGCAACTTCGTATTTGCGCCTAAAAAAGTATGTTATATAGGGATAAAATTACCAGATAACTTACAATGGGCTATAAAGTCCTTGTATTTAGAAACACTGGTTCACATTGCACAAAGCGTCGGCATCAATACGACACGCTAGATAGCCAACGTCCCCGATTTTTGTCTTTCACCATTACAATTATGGGTAACATCTACAATTAACTACATTAAAAAAAATTGTACTTATTTTTCTTAATTATCTTTAATTGAAACGACTTATCGTTACTTGTAAGAAGTATCAGTTACCGCGTTTGGAATAAACAATCGAAAATTAGAATTGGCTTCAAATTCTACGACTGCACGTTTTTACAATTTGACACTAACTGAAATTGATTTTGACAGTTGACCGACTGTTCAACGCGCGTCGCGTACTTGTGACGTTTCTGAGTTGCTATTTACATTTGATAGAATCTACCATAAGTTACAATAATTAAAAATTATATTTACTAACAATGTGTATGTATGTGGCTTTAAGTAAAGAAAATGATATATTATACATGTTTCATACTGCTAAAAAGAAAAAGTAGTGTTCGTCTACTTAAAAATTTCATCAAGAGCCGAGCTCTTGGCGTAGTGCCCGAAAGTGGATAACGTTTTCCCTTCGAATAGCTGAATGATCCTTTAGAGATAGTAATTGCCTGGCTCCAGGTCACCGGACCTTTAATTAGGTGAACTGAATCTGGTAGAGTGAGTGCCTATCACTGTACCAGAACATAGTTATCGACGACTCGATAAAGTAAAAAAATCTTGGTGTGTAATTATAATTGCTCAAAGTAGTGAAAAAAACCTGACGAATTATTATTTACGGCATATACGACATAAAGGTTTTACATTCTATTACGTATTCACGATGCAGAATCTTATAGAATATGAATAGAATAGAATACGTTTATTTGCCAGAATATAGTATTTATACAGATCTTGAGTAAAATTAAATACATTGTATTCAACCTGCACGCAGGTGTGCAATTGTTAATGGTATTTCACATAACAAAATAAGTCTGTTTCTAACAAAAAAAACTTTTATTTTATATCTTTACTTTTTGGTTATTTCCTCTCTGCTTATGATTGTGTGAATGTGATTTCATCAGTTTTATATTCTATTTATGTATTACGTCGTATTCTTTTTTTAGACATGTATTTCGCACAATAAATAAACAAAAAGTGCTTTCTTCGAACATTAATATCGTATTGACTTAAATTCAACACTATACCGTTTGTAATAAAACGATTTATATTTCAGATAAAAAAAAACTGTTTTTTGTTCTGTGGTCAAGCTAGACGTACTCTTGACTATACCTGTAGGCGCCATTTAGTTAGGTAAACTGTGTCATTACTAGTAAAATGCTCATAGTCAAAACATATTAATGGATTGTTTATGTTGCAATTATCTAATTACATTGTCAATGGGCAATTTATTATTCTAACAACGGGTAATAAAATATATAACTTGATATAAACTACCACCAAAAATTCTTAGATCATACAATGTTCGAAGAAAAACTTCAACAAATTGTGGTTCTTTACAATTTCTTACCATTTTAGGGTTCTTTCTATGTAAATGGCAATCATTCTAAGAGCGATTACAGCGCCAAATAAAACATATGTTTTGCGGCAAAATGGCGAACCACTGAACAACGAAGTTCTCAATTAAGTCACAAGGTGCGTTGAGAACTTGAGAGAGTTATCAAGTTAGCTGATTTTTCAATAGATGGCAGTGTTCGTGTGTTTTGGCTGTGTTCGATTATCTACTTTTTTTTAATGTACGATAGAGATGTTGCTAGGTGTAGAGTTGTTTTCTAGCTACATTGTTGTTTATCGGAAGTGCCATTGCCAGGTATCGAACATGTTACTTTGTATTTTAAACCGAGCATAAATAGATCGATGCTAGAGAATCTGTATTTTCACCTAACTAGGTCGTAAAGTAGAGTAGCGCATCGTAACATACTTTTTCTTTCTCGATATAAGAACGTTTCGTTGCCTCTTTTTCAGATTCTACTTGACTAAGTTAACTAAGTAAACATGACGCATGCACGAGACATAACACAAGTCGAACTAAAAGTTGTCGGAGGCTTGTTTGTTGAACTACCCCTCTCCCGATGTACAAACAAACGAAGCCGCTTCACACTTTTTCTTTTTTTTTCCGGCAGCTTTGCGTTTCACCAGAATCTTACTTTGGTGGCGAATGGTGTAAAATTGAATCGGGATACCGAGTGCCACAAGGAACGGTTTTAGGTCATAAGATGATGATTGTTTGTTATCTTGAATAACTTTAGACGTCGGTATTATAATATTTATACAAAGTTAGCATAGATTTACTTGTGATGGTTTTGCGTTAAACTCAGCTCCGACAGTCACTAAACCTTTCATCTCTGCGACCTCCAGCCAGTTTTCAATTAGATCTATCTATCCAGTACAGTGAATGCAATTAAACGTAGGAACTCTTGTTTGCCGTCAGAAGGGAACAGGGGGTGGTGGGGACCCCTCCACTGAACAAATATAGACCAGGATTTCTGACTACTTTTACTTTTGTAAAACGCTTCCCGTAGAGGCCCAATTGCATTAGAAACAATTAATCAATGTTTTCAAAGTGGTAAATTTTATGTTATGAATAGATTACTTTATTGTACATTATAAATTAAAATGAGAACACGCAATAATCTAAATATTATTACAATACGCATTATACATTATAATGAGAACACTGTACAATAATCTAAATACAACAGGCGGCCTTGTGTGATATGTAATAATTTTCTAAGAGCAGCATTAATGCAATGGGGATATAACCAAGAATGTACAACACATAACACATTATTAATTAGTAAGTTGCTGATAGTCAAAATGGGAGAGTTCGATAGAATTACGTCTACATGTCTTGTAAGTCCGTTAATGTTAATACTAAAATCAATATCAATTAATTCACAAACCTGTAAAGTATGTATTTTGAAATATGTGAAAGAAATGTGATATGTCCAATTAATACTGTATTACATTGCATACAAAAGACGTCAACGAGCGCGAACTATCATGTCTTTCCTCTAAAAATATCATTGTCTGTGTGTAAACACACAGTTTTAATCAATAATTGGTGCAATTGGTCCACAAACATAGCTGTTAAGTGATTGTCGGCATCAATGTGTGTGGTCGGTAGAAATGGGAACTGGATTTATTAAGTCTGTCTGTACGGTGTGGCTCACGGGTAGAGCTATGCAAACTTTCAAATTTCTTTCCTACATCAGTTAAAAATCTTTGCATTTTAAAAAACCAAGACAGTTAAGAACTTAGAGAAATAGTATTTTTTTATTGGTGCATTATATTCCGCAGCTAAGCACGGCTCCAGAAAAGGATATCTCGGATAAAATCTTTGTATGAACAATTTATTTTTGTGACCTACAACATACTACTTAATATACATATAAATTATTAATAATATGAATGATAACGGATATGAATGATTAATTTGAGTTTGTATTTTAAAAGACATATAAATCTAATGATGAATGTATTGTTTATTACGTTTCTAGCAGGGTTTATATTGAGACACTTTTTGAATGTACATCACATCCATCTTACGATTATATACAATACAATACAAGATATTTATTCGCTGAAAAATGTAGTTTACAATGGTGTTATAGTATATTATTATTAGATCGTACATTTCAGCAAAACTTGGCATGCGAATATTTTACACAATTCTTATTTCAATCACGCACAGTGGTTAAATTTTACATTTTATGTTATCAATTAAAAAATAATTTAGCATTGTGTAACTAACAAATTATGTAATTTTATTTTAAATTGCCTACAATTTAGTTCTTTAACTGCATCTGGTATTTTATTTAATAATTTAGGTGCCAATATAAACATCGTTCTATTGTAAAATTCTAAGGTGGGGCGTTGTTTTGGACTTGACTGGATTGCAGTACATACCTTATAACTTTTTTTATGATATCAAATGACGGGACGAACAAATCGTGCGCCTGCTGGTAAGCGACACGCCTGTCCATTACAGTTACAGTGACCCTTAATGCTTCAAATCGCTAAGATCTGAGGGACACTGCCCTTCACCCTGAGAAAAATTAAAAAGTTTCATGTGCCTGTAATTTCACCAGCACCAATTACCCTTCAAAACCGAAACGCAGTAATGCTCACATTATTGCTTGTCGGCAGAAATAGGTCCTGACCCATTGCCTACCACCTGTGGTAGGTAAGGCAGTACTTCCCTGGATGAACTCTTTCACAAGGAGCTCTACTGCCAGTAAAACTATACGTATACCTTGTGTTATTTGAATGCAATAACAAAGTAGGTAGATGTTTCTGTTTATATACTCCCGGCATTGACTTACAATTATATGGACGTCGGGTCCGCGCTAAAAAGTGTCCGCACTTGTAAGGCGCTAAAATCGTATACAGAGCGCGACACTCCGCTTTAGTCTTCATTTGTTCTACTGACAGCGCGATACTGCGATGACATTACAATTTAAATTTCGAATAGGTTGACTTGGGACATTTTTTTCGTGGTTTTTGTATTAGACCCGTCGTCCTCCCGGACACATAATGCGAGCCACCTTGCATTTTTATCCTTAAAGGGCTAGAATATAAAAATATAGTAATCGTCGAAGAAAAAGTTTCCTCCAGTTTTTCAATTCAAATTTTCAATAAAGACTTAAGGAAATGACGTTTAGTATATCAGTTTCTAAGTTGCATAATAGTTCTTGATTAATCATGCATCGTTTAAGCTAAGTGCATTTAATATTGAAAATGCAAGGTGGCTCGAATTATATGTCCGGGAGTATATATAATATATCATTTTTGTTCACTGTTTTACGACTGTACCTTAAGATACAGGTAGTAGAGCTGCTTGTCAAAGTGTTCATCCAGGAAAGTACTTACTGCCACCTAATCTATTTCTGCCCCCACACAATACTGTACGCATTACTGCGTTCCGGTTTTGAAGGGTAAAAGTGCTGGTGAAATTTCAGGCACATGGGACTTGTCAATTTATGTCTCAGGGACGGGAGTAGCGGCAGTGCCCCTCAGATCTTTGCGATTTAAAATTCATCCCGACATTGGGTATCATAAAAAAGAGACAAGGTCGTCA